TTGTAGAATATAAAAATTTAAACACGGTATAATATAGTGTAAGCATTCCCCTCCTAACTAGCTTTGTTTCTACTTTCTAACACCTAAGTGGTTATAGGTTGGTGCACATGGTACTGGTGCAAAATTGCCACCTATTGATGAGCAAGTTATTGCCATGAAATTGGTCACTCCTGCCAAGGGAATTATAGAGCTCTCAAAAGAGAAAGACCCGGAGCTCTTTTATCTTGCTCGTGTTGGTCTTGGAGGACTCGGAGTAGTAGTTGAAGTCACCCTTCAGTGTGTTGATAGGCAGGAGCTTGTGGAGCACACCTACATCTCTAATATGGATGAGATAAAGAAAAATCACAAGTAATTTCTCTGAGATTTTATTTATTATTGCAACTGCACTAAAGAAAAATTCTTTATCATTATCTTTATAATCATTTAAAATCTTCTTTCTTCCCATTTCCTCTCTCTCTTAAGTCTAATGGCCAATTCTGATAAGAATATAGTATCTATTTACTACTTTAGTGTTGTTTACCAAGGTGTCCATGTGAATGTATCTTCTTTAATTCATGTTAGTGCTGTTGCCATTTCCTATGAAGTTGCTTCTCAACCTGAAGCTACTTTACTGTTTATAAATAGATCTACCTATCCATCATCTTAAAACGCATGCATTGATTTGTTACAATATAATAAGTTGTAGAATTGTAGGGGTCCTTATAGTGAAACTGTTAGCTGTTTTTCTAGGTGTGTGGACATTTAAACTGGTAAGAGCATCCAACAACGCCTCTAAGGGGTGTTGCTAAAAACAATAAGTTTTTTCACATTACCAAAGCTAGGTATGGGAAGGACAGATATGAGCACGCAGACACAAACCTTGACCAATGAACTGCAGTGATGTATATGATTGGTTTCAAGTTTCAACCCCTTTCTTATGGTAGTGCTCGCTTTGGCTGTAGTTGTAAAGTTTAGAAAATATTCTTTGCTTACTCTGTTATGCCTATGACATATTATCGAAGTAAAAGTGACTATGGTGTTATCATTCACTAGAAATAAACTTGTATTTGCTTCCCATTGCAGGAAACTACTCTCTGAAAATAAGCACGTAAAGTACCTGTATATCCCATACACGGATTCTGTTGTTGTTGTGACATGCAATCCTGTATCAAAGTGGAGACGTCCAAAGAATTTCAAACCTAAATATACTAAAGATGAAGCGCTTCAACATGTACGAGATCTGTACAAGAATTCATTGGAGAATTATAGGTATTTTTTTTTATATGCATAGTACTGTAGTCTTTATCAGAAGGCGGCCACCTATTCTCTTGTCATTTCAAATTTACTCAGATAAGAAGTTTTATCAAGTGCCTTGTTTGATGCTATCAGATTAACATGTCTCAGGAAGTTGTCTCTCTTGTTTGCCTTGCTGTCAGGATATGAAAATTAACTAATTTTTTCTGTTATTTTATGGCTTGGCACTTCTTTCATACATATTGCAGCTTTTGATTCCTTCTATATTTGTATAATTTCACATCAAAGTTTTAACCGGAAAACTTTAAACTATGGACACCTACATCTTTGTTAGCATAGCTATGGACTGAATTTAGCGATGCATTATTAAGCAACTAAAGCAAGGCTGTGGAGTTTGATTGATTATAAACTGTAAACATAGCCAAGTAAATGATAAATCCACTTTTGAGAGATGATTGTAAATATAGCCAAGTAAATGATAAATCCACTTTTGAGAGATGATTCTCTCCTTATTTATCTTACTATGCTTACCCTACAATTTTGATCAATATTCAACATGCTAATCCCTTTCTAATCGTCTCTTGTTTAGTATTACTCCTCTGAATCACTCCCTTATCTTCCTCCTCAAGACACTACAAACTGAATTATATTGCACTACCTAATATGCCCCTCCCCCTTACATCAGTTCATTGTGTTCTGTTGGTAATTTTTTGTAAAGCAATGCAACAGCTCTCATGAAGTCATGATTTCTGCAGAGTATCTCCTGCAGAGAATGATCCAGAAATAAATGAGCTTTCATTTACGGAGCTTAGAGACAGACTTATTGCTTTAGATCCTGTGGATGAAGAGCATGTCATCAAAGTGAATCAAGCTGAAGCTGAATTCTGGAAGAAATCAGAGGGTTATAGAGTGGGCTGGAGTGATGAAATCTTAGGTTTTGATTGTGGTGGTCAGCAGTGGGTCTCAGAGACATGTTTTCCTGCTGGCACCCTAGCAAAGCCTAGCATGAAGGACCTTGAGTACGTTGAGAAACTGAAGCAGCTGATAGAGAAGGAAGGAATTCCTGCACCCTCTCCTATTGAACAACGATGGACAGCTAGGAGTAAGAGTCCTATGAGTCCAGCATCAAGCTCATCAGATGATGATATATTTTCTTGGGTAATCTCTTTGGTTTGTTATTTTTGTTTAATTTTTTCTGATTGCGTTTTGCTTAATTAAATTTTTATTAATCTGGAAATGCTCATCATAAACATTAAAGGCTGATCTTGTATATTGGAATTTGCTTCTTAAAGTTTATAGATTCAGACACTTTTTAAAAATCATCAGTAAATTCTTCTGAAAATTATGAAGTCATAGTTGAAGTTGAATGCATGATATTTATTTGATTGACACAGCTAATTTCACTTGTTTAATAGACCTTTTTGGAGCCTTTATTGATGTATATTGCAAGCTAAACCATTACATCTTTATGTTTTTCCAGCACAGACTACTGTTTGGGAGAACTGAGGAGATATAGAGGATTTGTTTTGAAGGTTAAAGTAGCATTACATCTAGAACCAAAGAATAGCATGCTGAACAACCAAATACTCCCTCCATTTATTTTCTCAGGCAACTTTGCCCTTTTAGAAAACCAGTACACAATTATCTGTCCATGTAATGTACCTATTTACCAGTGCAATACCTGTCACCTTTCATATCGCAACAAATAGTTCTTAAGTTGTGTGCATAACCTTGCTAATCACTTAAATGGGAATAGTGGGAGTAATTATGTTTCTTTGGAGTATCATTTTAGTTGGACGGATATGTATAGTGTAAGGCAGAATGGAAATGTAAGTTATATTTTCTTATTCTGAATGCAGTTCCTAAACATTTCGACCTGTGTTTCAGGTTGGTATCATTATGTACCTCCCAACAATGGATCCTCGCCAGAGGAAGATAATAACAGATGAATTCTTTCACTACAGATCTTTGACACAAAATCAGCTGTGGGATCCTTACTCTGCTTATGAACATTGGGCAAAGATTGAGGTATTTGAGCACATTTAACCTTGTCTAATGATAAGTTTCTTGATCTCATATTCTCCATAATCAAAACTATTGAAGAATTCTCATGATCCATCAGAGAATAGGCATTTACTTCTTATCTTTTGTGTGATTCTTAGATTCCAAAGAACAAGGAAGAGCTCCCAGATTTGCAAGCAAGGTTAAAGAAGCGTTTCCCTGTGGATGCATACAACAAAGCACGAAAGGAATTGGACCCAAACAGGATCCTGTCTAATAACATGCTTGAAAAGCTCTTCCCTTTGTCAGAAGATGTATGAAAAGCATTCAGCATACACCAATCACGTCGGTGTTTGTTCCTATACCAAAATGTGAATTATTGACTCAATTTCTGGTTTGATTAGATCGCCCCTCTCATAAGTTTAATTTTTTGCTCCACAAAAGATGCCTTTCTCTTTTAACATGTACAACATAGAAAGGTAGTTGATGAATTTTGACATTTGAATGTAACAGTCATTCCATAATCTTTTATATCTATTATATAATAAAAGTCCTTTCAAAGGTGGTGACAGCCTTATGCTCAGTTACACATATTTTGTTCTGAATCTTCTCATTATTACTTTACATTCCAGAAGAAACACTTTACAAAAGAGGGGGAAAAAAATGAGAGAAACTTGTAGTTCCTGAGTCAATTTTCCAAGAGCAAACAATGCATATAATGAACAGAAACCTCTAGGAAATGGGAGCATAAGACGAAATGAATGTCAACAGTTTCCCTTTCAAGAACTTCTCTGAAAAGAGGAATTATATTCAGCTACCTGCAGATATGCTGGAGATCTATGTCAGATATTGCATTATCACCGAATTCCCCATTATTCTCAGGAGGCTTCTTGATGTCAAGGTGGGTTGGGTGGATCAAGTTTATGTTGCAGCCTACTTCTTCTCACGATGACTATATACTTGCTTAATCAATCTCTAGATATCGCAGCAGGGTCTCATCTAATGTGCTGTCGAATTTAAACTAATAAATGCTGACATGAATTGTTAGGTTCTGCCGTAAAATAAGCCAATTGTGCACCTTCTGCACCATGAAGTTTACTGCACCACAAACAAAAATAATTATTTTTTTTTCAATTTTTAAGTAGCAATGTCGAGGTTATTGTTAGAGAACCAATTCAACCAAAAGCTTAAGCTGATGGTTGAGGCCCAGGAATATGTTTTATACTCTATCAGTTATGTTTCACTGAAGGGATCATCAGCACCTCAGACTGCTGCTTCATATTTGATGAAATTCATTGAGCAGGATCCTTGCCGACTCTGAAACAAGTTATAAACACCAATCAGATGGGAAGGCTTTGTGCAGATCAATATTTAGCCAATGCTGGCCTGGGCTAGAACGAGAATCTAAAGCTAGAGCTCAGGCCTCCTATTTTCCTTAACCAGTTAAACAGTGTTAGAAGTCCAAGTCTCTAATTATTTTTCTGTCAACCCAACTGATAGCCAGTGAAACCAGATACCCTCCACTTGTCAAAGTCCTAAAACTAATATGCCATTCATATAAGAAATAACTGGTTTGTGGAGTACCACTAGTTCACTGTGATAATGGTAGACTATTCATTAAAGGTTTATTGTATCTGTAAGTCGCAAGGATCACATAGATCGAGTTGTCAAGTAATTTCAGTATTTCACAACTTCCATATCAGAATAGATCCTCAATCAGTCAAATATGTGATCTAATAAGTGATAAAAACAATTACTCAATGATGTATCCAAGCTATGAGCTATCTATCTGTAACAACTAAAAAAATACAGGTGTTTATAGGAGTAAAGCAACATCAGGGTAAATAATCATCATCTACATTTAAATATCCAACTACATTTACATGCTTCTCAAATTTTCCAAGAAAGCTGATTTTTTTGGCTAATACATGGTTACAGAGTTAGGCTTGTCCTTTGCCATAGGTACAGTAGAGGGGAAAACTAAAATCATGAATGCAACCAAAGACGGTCACGAAGCCGTTCTTCTCCAGCTCCAAACATCTCGTCCACCCTCTCACCATCGCAGTAGAACTGAAATGTAGGAGTGTAGCGTATCTGTTGAGTGGTTTCAGGGCACTCATCTATATCAGCATAAACAAAGGAAAGCTTTGAGAACTCTTTGCTGAACTTCTGAAATGCAGGCAGGATCTGATTGCAAACTCGGCACCTGAAAAAGATTAATTATTAGTCTACTCTGAAACGTCTTAAAATTAAACCGTCTAACTTCACATAAATAATCATCCAGTGAGTAGACCATGTATAGTTTACGTTGACAGGAAAAAATCACAGGACTGCAAACATGCCGAAAGCATATGATGCTACAAACAGCTTGAAGTTATAATGGGATACTTAAAGTAAATATTCATCTTAAGACATTAAAACACAACAAATGATTGAAACCAATCAAAGCAATTACTAGCCAATTCAAAGCACAAATCCTTGAGAAGGCGTTCATGGAATCCGCCACGAATGGCACATCCAAATCCATATGTTAACTATTAAGTATCCAATTCAAGTCAATTATTGCTCACATTATTCTCAGAATCACTTTCTTTCATTCAATTAGACATAAATTACATGTACTTGTAATGAAAGCCTAATTAGTTACACCAAATCCAACCTAGAAAATGGTATCTTCAATAGTTCAATTTGACCAACAAGTCCAATACTCCAAACATAGTTCATTGCATCAAGATACCAAACCTCACTCACCTCCCACTTTGTAGGGTCGGCTACATCAATTATTGGTCACCAAAGTAAACTTGAAAGCAACAATTATTCCCTTGGTTTCAAATTCTTCTAGCCTATTAATCCGTCTATAACAATGACCAACTTACAAGGCAAAATCTTGTGTAAGACGGGTTATACAGTACTTCGTATACAACAAACTTAATCACTCCAAATTATATACAAGTCAACTTTGCAAATTTAAAAATTTAATTTAATCAAAGGCAACTATTATTCAATTTATAACAATGACCAACTTAGAAAAGAAAAACTTGTATACAATTAGTGCTTTGTATATAAAATGATAATCAACCCAAATCACATACGAGTACAAGTTAGCTTCCCAAATGAATAAATTTAATATAATCAAAGGCAAGTTAGAATATTGTACTGTATTACATTGTTCAATACAAAAAATTTATGCAAAAATATAGTCTTGGAAAAAAAATCAAACTTACCAAGAAGCACCATAATTGATTACTGCCTGCAATTAAACATAGACAGAATTTTAGACGAAGAATTTCCGATTAAATAACAAAAACCCACTTCTAATTTATGCACTCATCTTCATCCCAAATAAAAATTAAGTAGAAAAATAGAAGAAAAGGGAAAGTAACGGAGATTGATTACTGGGGTTTTGGAAGCACGAATTTGGAGAAGAACATCAGTGAATTCTTCATCAGTGGAAGGCGTTTTCAAGTTGCTCAAATCTTTGTTAACCCCACCTTCCATTTTCGCCGGAGTAGGACGTGGCTCGCCAGATTATGTTGACTGGAACCAAGTAGAGTAGTTGAGACTTGAGAGGCTCGGTTTTTTTTAGCCTTTTGTTCCTTTCTTTGTTGGTGGGCTTGGGTCATAAACACTCTTTTAAGATCCCCGTCCATATAATCCCTCCGTATATTTTGAGTGTTACGACTTCGTATTTTTTCGGAAAAATTGAAAAAAAAAAAAAAAAAAAAAAAAGTCATCTAATTTTTGCTTGTTCGTCCAAACTAATTACAATTGTAAATTATTTTTAAATAATTCAAATTTTAATAATTATTTACTCAAAATAATCCCTCCGTGATCGAATAATAATGTAATAAACAAATTTCAAAAGCCCCACCAAGGTTATTACAAAAAAAAAAAAAGCCCCACCCAGCCACACAACCCCAGTACCACCAATCCAACAACCACCTCCTAAAAGCCCAGCCATGGTCCCCCGTCTCATGCCCTCTCCGGCGCTGGAGACCCCCTTCTCTAAGCCGGAGCCAAAGCCGCTTTCCTCATAGGCCCATACCCCCACCAAAACTCCACCTCAAAACCCAAATACACCAACCCGAAACCCATAAAAATCCCCTCCCCCACCACATAAAACCCCCCAACATGCCTCCCCCACCCTCGGAACCTCTTAAATTTCTCAATCTTCCTGATAATGTCCTAAAGACGGCCTCGTCGAATTTCTCGGATCAATTTTATCGACCGTCAATTCGGTTGTCTTTTTAGCCTCGGTTATTTGGCACGGGATTGGTGCAGCACCTACGTGAGGGATGGGGTTTGTGTAGAGGTGATTAAAATTCAGGCCGGGCCGGGCCGGGCCATACCACGATTTCTCGTGCCCAAACCCGTTAAGAAGTAGCGGGCTTGTCGAGCCGGGTTCGGGCTTTTTAACTAAAATTGCGTTTTTAAGCTTGTCCAAACCCACCCTATTTTTGGGCCGGGCTAGCGGGTCGCACCAATGTTGATCACCTCTAGGTTTGTGTGCTGGTGTTGGTTACAACAAAGCCGGCGATGTTCAGGGGTGATTGGTTGTCTGTCGCCGGCGTGAATGGGGTTCCTAGAGGAATTGGTGGTGGGGGTTTTGGGAGGGATGGTGGTTTTTTTTCCTAATTTTTTTTAAGTTTTTCTATTTTTTATTTGATCTTTTTTAAAACCAATTACGTTGTGACATGTGTCACCTTAACCTGTTACGACTAGGGTTGTTCATCGGACCAAGATCGGACCGACCCGGATTGAAATGAAAACTGAAAATTAGAATTTTAAAAATCGAATACCGAACTGATTAAGCTAGGACCGAAACCAGTTTGGACCGAAAAAATCGGTCCAAAACCCTGACCGGACTGCATTGGACCAAATTAAGAATATTTTTTAAAAAATACTAAATTTTTAATATAGTTATGGAAAACACAAAAAACAGTAAAGGAAAAACTATATTGTAACATCATTTTTACGTCTTTTTTGTATGTTTAGTACAAAAAAACTTATAATGTCAAAGTTTTCTAATCCTATTAAGAATAATTTTAACCATTATTTAAGGTTTCACACATATTTTTAATAAAAAAAAATTGGTCTGGTCTAAAAATGATTTATATAGGGTTTTGGATTGGACCGCTTAACTCGGTCCGGTCCATTTTTTCAGTCCAGACCGGTTTATGAACACCCCTATTTATATCAGGTTCGATGACCGGTTGGGTCCACTTTGAGCAAATGACCTCCAAAGTTGGGATTATTTTGAGCTAACGGACAAAAGTTGAGATTATTTTTGTCAATTTTTCCTATTTTTTCACTATTTATTCTTTTCACTATTTCTTAACAACGAGCTTTTATGTGGCCGGCCGATACACACTAAAAACACTAAACAGGCAAACTCTGATTGATCGAATAATTCATGACAAACCAAGTAAGTCCTGATCAATTAATCTATTATATATATTCTTTCAATTTCTATTACTTCATATTTTGTATGTTCCGCCCTATGTATAAATCCTAGATCCATTCTTGCGAGCAACCCCTGAATAAATAACCATGACCATACGTTGTGGCCAACCACATATGAAACCTTGTGAACGAAATAATCCTTAATATGACTGGCCACACGATATGATCAGGTGCATATAAGAATTTGTATTTTCTGTAAACAAGACAAAACCTCATTAATATATAACATATTACCTTAACATTAAATCACCTAGTGTTTATCTATGACTATATCTATGTTTAATTTTCCTCAAAAAGAGAAATTGTGTGTTTATCTATATCTTTCTTTCAATACATAAGATGTAACCTTCAACATTAGTTCATTGTGTGTGTCATCATTATTTATCCATTACGAAGTTGCCACGACAACACATGACTTTGTCTTGTAATATCTTTGTCATGTTTACTTAACTCTTTAACTCTTGCCAAAGTGCCTTGTGTTTAGCCGCGTATTAAACCATTTAAGGTACTATTAGAAATTAAATTTGGAATTATTCTCACCATTCGTCCATGTTATGCCACAACACTCCCATGATATTCTATACATCTGTACATACCGTGCATAAGATGGGAACGTAGGATTCGAGTCATTCAACCATTTTAATCATTACCTTACATAATTATATACTCGAATGATATATATATACATTCGAGTATATAATTATGTATATATATATATATACACACGCCGTAGTAATTACGTTTATATTGCCTAATTGTCTTGACTAAAACTAGCTCGTGGAATTTCCATCACTTTAGTAATTTTGGACAGTTGGAAAAGGACCAGCAACTGATCTTCACAAGCTTATCTTTGGGTCAATTAGTTTTGGTAACACGTCGAACATAAAATATAACACGAGCAAATGTTCATATTAGCTGTCTTCTTTAGTCATTTGACTCATTTCCATTCGTACTTTGGATTTTGGGGTAGATTAGATATTAAAAGTTGGTGGGCTTTTCTTTTGTGATATTCATTGGTTTATCGTATAGTTTTATAAATTTTGGAGAAGTCAATAATAATCACCAAAAATGAAGAACATGTGTGTAAATTGTACCCTTAAAAAAGTGCATTATTAAGTTTATACAACTAAGTCTCCAAAGTAATAATTAGTAACTTTCTCCAAGTAATTACTACTCTTTTGAAGCAACTTTTTATTAGTTTGGGCGATGTTTAGATTTATTGACAATCAGTAATTACTTTTAAAATTATGATTGAGCCTTGATTTAATTAACTTTCATTTAGTAATACATTATATTGTCAAAATATATTATTTCTGTTTGCAATGGGTTGTATACTTCTATGTATGCCTCTATATGTTTCTTGTTTATGTGTATCCGTAGTGGATGATATAAAATGAGAACCAACAAAAGAATGACAGCGTTACATAGCATACATTTAAATTTAATGCCGCTTTTTATTACTTAAAAAGTTATTATTGTATTAACACATTTGGAATATTAGTATTATACAAATATCGACATCAGTGAAGTATTATATAATCAAGCAAATTAAAAATATTTAGCCATTACTTTGTCTTTGATCTATGCAAAAATCTTGCCATAATTTACAAAATATATAATATTCAAAATAGTACAATTGTTCGTCGTATAAAAGTTAAAGCAACAATAATATTAGATTTTGCCCTAGTTCTTAAATTCTCATGCACTATGAGTTCAACCTTGGTTAATTAGGGTGGTCAGCTTTTATTTCCTTCTTCTTTCAAAACTACCTTATTAAGATGGAATATAGTATAAGCCAATAGAACCCGATGCAGCAAGCAAGATCATTTAAAAGTAAAAGAAAGATACGGAGTAAGAGAATTCTCAATCTCAAAATGTAACCATTCCGATAAAATAGGATTATATAAGCTCATGTCGAATAAAATTCATATAATACTTGTACCAAATACTACCTATTTCTTGACTTGCAAATTTGCAATAGGCTGTATTTGTACAAAAATTATTACAATGATTCAATTACAACTAAAGAGAAAAGAATGTTGTACAATGACATGCTACCTTTTTGTTAATGTCAAACTTAGCTCTTGAAGTCTAAGATACAACCAATGAAACAAGTACCCAGTTATAATTTTAATTTGTATTTGTTGCTTGGTTGAATATTATTTGAACTTCCTTAATGTAAGTCCGAGAAGGTAGTGTACGGGATATACCGGTAGCATCTATAATATGCCGGTAAAAGAGTGTTGTGTAGTTTAAAGTCCTCGTTAATCATTGAATAATTCATGTCCTTACCGGCATCAGTCTCTGCCACGTGAAGAGTTGCTTCTCGGAACGTGGCATGTCCCTCTGACACGTGGAGAGTCGCTTGGTGCCGCGTAGGCACCTGCTATTTACAAGGTCGGGGTGCCACTTGCTTGGTTGTGTTTCTATAAATACTCAAGCAAATCCTCACTTCAAGGGTAGAATCTCTCTCTCTCTCTCTAAAACACTTTCTCTCTCTTCTTTCACTTTCTTCTCACAAAGGTACTGACTTTAGCATCGGAGTGGTTATTCCCGGATAACCCCGGGTTAGCTAATCTGTATTGGGTGTGTAGGTGAGCAATTGGACGGTAAACCATTACCAGCCCTCGGACATCAACGGAAGCAGAAATCAGCAGGAACAATTGGCGCTAGAAGGAGGGGATAGTAATAATTTCTATCGTCCAATAGAACCTCTCACAGTTATGGAAGGAAGTAAGGAAACTACTGTACCGGTACCGGAGGTTGATAACCAGTAGTATGATAATAGTATCTTAAATGCTAACGCGAATAAAACTGTAAACAGCCTACCAGAAATCGTGGTCGAGGATGAAACTCATCTCCTTCACGGCAACACAACGAACATGCCCTTAACGCCTGACCGCAATAAAGCAGTGACCCCAGATCCCTTGGAAGGGTTTACCCCGGAGGAACTAGAGATAACAGCTAGGGTCATGCGGGCTATGTTTAAGAAAAGAAAGGAAGCCGAGTTAGCGGCAGGGGAGGTACTGGCTGATGTACCGAAAAAGCCGCTAATAGTGAACCTAGAGAGTCAGTTCAATCAGGCGGGACAGCAACAACCGTCAAGGAGCCGGGGCCGAGAGACCATACCGGCTGAGCGCCAAATCACGCAAGACGCCCAGGGGGGGATTCAGGTTCCTATCGGCATGAAGTTTTCAGTGGCTTGGAAAGGCGGGCAGCCAGGGCGATCATCAGGCCCAGGATATCTCCGTTCACACAAGAGGTACTTGACCAACAAATGGAGAAAATAAAGATGTCGTCCTGTACGTATGACGGTAAGGGGGACCCTAAGCGGTATGTAGCTGCTTTTGAGAGTCACATGTTGCTATATACCGACACCGATGCTGTGTGGTGTAAAGTTTTCCCTACGACTCTTACCGAGGCAACTTCGGATTGGTTCTCCAATTTAGAGCCGGGATCAATCGACTACTTTGAGACCTTGGTGGAGTTGTTCACGGGTCAGTACATAAGTAATAGTGCGAGACAAAGGACATCTGGCGAGCTCATGGCTATTCAGCAACGAAAAGAGCAATCGCTTAGAGATTTCATTAGGCGCTTCAATAACGAGGCTAACACCATACCAAAATTGCAGCAAGAAATTGCCGTGATGGCGTTGATGAATGGACCGGGTGACAACGACTTCAAAAAATATATGTCGCGGAAGTCTTTCCCAAACTTAGGGGTAGCATTTGCCTAGGCTCACGAATACATAAAAAGTGAGGAACTGCTGAAAACGAGCCGTCAGATATCTTCAGCAGAACCCTCCAGAAGCCAAAGTGATAATAGCCCAAACGCCAGATGGGTGGGATAAGCAGGGTACTGCCGCAAGGCCAGCGGAGATCTGGAAAATCGACAAGGGGATTGGGCCGTTATAGCAGTTATACGCAGTTAAACACCCCGAGAGCGGCAATTTATTCAATAAACCAGAATAGAGAAGATTGGAGTCGACTGGCGCCGATGATAAGGAAGGGCCGGGACGTGAAGAAATATTGCATGTTTCATAGAGATGTTGGTCATTAAACCGAAGATTGTGTTCAATTAAAGGAGAACATTGAAGATCTCATAAGGAAGGGGCGATTGTCCCAGTATCGTACTCAGGCGGGTCCCAGCCGACAGCAAAATTCACAGCCTAGGCAAACCAAGTACCGAAAGCAGGGAGATTCATCAACGCAAGATGATGCTTACAGGGAGAATCATGCGGAAACATCCAGAAAGGGAGGTAATCCGACAGGGCACAAATAACAATCGATGTTATTTCGGGAGGACCGGTATACAGGGGTTCTGTAAGTGGGGCGAAGAAAAGTTTGTCAGAATACCGGCATCTAGTGAACGCATTGAGCGTAGAGGAACGACCTCGACCTTCTCCCATGTCTTCTATATCTTTTTCTAAGGAAGATGCTAAGGGAATAGTCTTCCCTCATGATGATCCATTGGTGCTGATATTGACGGTAAATGGAGCAGATATCAAGCGGGCTCTCGTTGATGGCGGGAGTTCCGCCAATATCTTATTTTCTAGAGCTTTTGACGCCATGAGAATTGGCCGAAAATACTTAACGCCAGTGTCCTATCCCGTGATAGGCTTCAACGGATCAACGGTAAGACCTGAGGGTAGTATAGCTCTTCAGGTTCGAATGGGAGAGGGGCCGACAGTGAGAGATGTTATGGCGGAGTTTTTGGTGATTGATGTGCCATCCGCTTACAACGCCATTGTCGGTAGGAATTTAATTCATGACATGCAAGCTGTGGTCTCGACGTACCATTTAACAATGGTATATGTGTCCAACGCGGGAACGACAGAGCGCGTACGAGGTAGTCAAACTATGGCAAGAGAGTGTTATGTTTCAGCACTAAAGCAGTCTAGCCGACATCCAACTTGTGAACAGACACCATCCAAGCGAGAACGAGTTCCCTCCGCACACGATTTGGCCATGGAAAATTTCGATACTCGACCGTTAACCGCGCCACGTCCTTCCTTAGGAGGCGAGACCGTAGAGATCGAATTGCAGCCCGGGGTTTCCGGGAGGGTAGTGCGTATTGGGTCCGATATGGATGTCGACACGCGTTTCCATTTGGTGGAATTGTTACGAGAAAATGCTGATGTGTTTGCTTTCTCGGCAGACGAGATGCCCGAGATACATCCCGACGTCATTGTGCATAAGCTAAATGTCGACAGAAGAGCGAGACCTGTTCGATAGAAGAAAAGGAACTTCTCAACAGAGAAAATGGAGGCTATTCAGTCAGAGGTGAATAAATTGCTAGCGGCAGGGTTTATCGAACCCTGCACATACCCAGAATGGTTAGCAAATGTGGTTATGGTAAAAAAGCCGTCAGAGAAATGGAGAATGTGTGTGGACTTTACGGACTTGAACATAGCCTGCCCGAAAGATTGTTATCCCTTGCCGAGGATAGATAGATTGGTAGATTCAACTTCCGGTCACACGCTATTGAGTTTTATGGACGCTTTCTTCGGGTATCATCAGGTCAGCTTATATGAGCCAGATCGAACCAAGGCGGCATTCATTACCGATTCCGGAGTTTTCTGTTACAGGGCTATTGCCGTTTGGATTGAGAAATGCAGGGGCTACGTATCAGAAGCTGGTCGACAAGGTGTTTGCGAATCAGAAAGGAAAGAATGTGGAAGTGTATATGGATGATTCAATTGTGAAAAGCCGTTTGGCTACAGATCACGTCACTGATTTGAGAGAAACTTTTGAAACTCTTCGACGCTACCGGATGAAGTTAAACCCGGAGAAGTGTGTGTTTGGCGTCCGGTCAGGAAAGTTTCTCGGGTTCATGGTGAGCGAAAGGGGGATAGACGCTAACCCCGATAAGATTGAGGCGATTCTTAGTTTACCAGAACCAAAGTGCATAAAAGATGTACAAAAGCTCACTGGTCGAATGGTTGCATTAACGAGATTCATCAGCAAGTCAGCTGACAAAGCCTTACCATTCTTCGTGATCTTGCGTCAGAACAAGCTGTTTGAACGGGGGAAGGACCAATCCAAGGCGTTCCAGGCTGTGAAAAATCACTTGAGGTCCTTACCCACCGTCGCAAGGCTGGAACAAGGAGAAACATTGCAGCTTTATATTTCCGCGTCAGCAAAGACGGCAGCAGCGGTGCTCCTAGTGGAACGACAAAAAACCCAACTGTCAATCTACTTTGTGAGCCACGTTTTAAATGCTGCCAAGATACGTTACCCGTTAGTAGAGAAGATCGCGTACGCAGTAGTTGTGGCCGCACGAAAGTTGCGTCCTTACTTCGATGCACATGCAATTGATATCTTAACGAATCAGCAGTTAGAGAAGTCTTTGCAGAAGATGGAAACGTCTGGACGTTTGCTTAAATGGGCGATTGAATTCTCTGAATATGTTATTGCGTATAAACCAAGGGTATCAATCAAAGCCCTGGCTTTGTCTGACTTCATTGTAGAAACGTCTTATTATGAAGAGAAGGATGGTACTGGCATATGGAAGGTATCAGTTGACGGCTCGTCTGCTTCAACCGGCTCCGGGGCTGGAGTAATTATGATCTCTCCCCAGGGAGATGTGTTCGAGTATGCTGTCAAGTTCAAGTTCAAAGCCTTGAATAATGAGGCAGAATATGAAGCAGCGTTGGCAGGGATACAGCTATGCATATCTGCTGAACAAAGCGTATTGAGATGACAACTGACTCGCAACTAGTAGCAAATCAGTTCAATGGCACTTACGAAACTCGAGAGCCGAGCATGACGGCATATTTGGCAAAACTCAAGAGTGTTACATCTGGTCTGGAATATTTCGAAATCAAGTTGGTTCCTCGAGCAATGAACACGCAGGCAGACGCACTGGCTAAACTTGCAAGTTCAATCTTCAACGACTTAGAGAGGAAGGTTATGGTAGAGGTCTTGAAAGAAAGGAGTATTGATGAACAGCCTCCTAAGGATGTAAATTGTACGACTGCAGGTCGAGAATGGTATGATGATATCTTGGCTTACAAGGTACATAACGTCCTTCCTGCCGATAAGACGAAGGCAAGAAAGATCCAGAAAGATAGCGTGTGGTTTATTATGTTCCGAGGCTTGCTGTATAAACGGGGGTTTTTGCTACCGTTGCGAAGGTGTGTAACAGCATATGAGTCGGCAAGGCTGATAGAACAAAGACACGAGGGTGATTGCGGTAATCATGCGAGGGGTCGGTCGATGTCCTTGGAAGCAATGAAGCGGGGTTACTATTGGCCGACAATGAATGCAGATACCATGGAGTACGTTAAAAAATGTTATAAATGCCAGAAGTATGGGCCGGTGATTAATCAACCTCCAAATGATTTAACACCTATTCTTAACCCAATTCCGTTTGCTCAGTGGGGAATGGACATTATCGGGCCGTTTACATCGGCAACAGGTGGCCGCAAGTTTTTTATTGTAGGGATAGACTACTTCACCAAATGGATAGAAGTGGAACCGATAGCAAACATTACAGCGACTGAGGTAAAAAAGTTCATCTGGAAGAACATCTTTACACGATTCGGATTGCCGACAACAATGGTGTTTGATCACGGATCATAATTTGACTGTAGCCCGGTAAAGAACTTTTTAAGCATATACAAAGTGAAGTTTGCGTATGTGGCGGTATGTCACCCGCAGTCAAATGGCCAGGCTGAGGCCGCTAACAAGCAGATACTAGGGGCAGTTAAGAAAAAAGTAAAAGACGTCAAAGGCTTGTGGGCGGATCTGATACCTGAGATTTTGTGGGCGAACCGTACGACAACAAGAGAAACTACAAGGGAATCACCTTTCAACCTTTCTTTTGGCTCAGAGGCAGTGTTTCCGGCGGAAGTGGGACTTCCTACTTTCCGGGTACAACACTTCTACGAAAGTCAAAATGATTTGTTGCTTCGACAGCAATTGGATTTTCTACCGGAAGTGAGGCTGACGGCCACCATAAAATCTGCGGCATAAAAAAACCAGATGAGCCACGCTTATAATCGGCGCGTCAATTATCGACCCATGGAAGATGGTGATTTAGTTCTGCGTAGAACGGCCGCAACCGGCAAAGGGAACGTAGAGGGTAAATTTACTGTAACCTGGGAAGGGCCTTACCAAGTATATGAAGCACTCCGGCAAGGGTCTTATCGGCTTATGACCCTTGAAGGAGTACCCCTGAAGAATGTCTGGAACGCTAGTGTGTTAAAGAAGTATTTCATGTGAAGTTTAAATGTGTTCTATTTTGTGTAGTATAATTTTTGATGACATGTTGTCATACGTATGTTTATGGCATTTACTAGCATTGTAACCTATTTTAATACCTATGAAATACAGTAACTCTGCCTACTTTCAATACGATCTGATCACAGCCTAGCTAGCTGACTCGGTCGTTCAAGTGAGGGATAAATAATGACATGAAATAATAATGGACCTCAAGGGGGTGCGATTTGATCCACTGCCTTTGCTCAGCCTGACAAAGGTTGGATACTTTATCTCGCTATGTTTCACATCTGATATTCAATACAGGCATTACAGAGTTTTCCCAAAATTTATTTATGAATAAATTTTGCCGAAAAACTCGGGGAGTATTATTGGTAAGGTGTAACTTGAAAATACCGATAACAGAGTTGAGTACGGGCATTATTTGGTTTTTCAAAATTTTATTTACAAATAAAATGCCGAAAGGTGTAACTTTAAAATGCTGAAAAGCGTAAATTTGTATTAAAAACCGAGA